TTATTATTATTATTATTGCTTGTTGAGTGGAGTGTCGACGCCCAGGGGAGGGGGAGGGGGTATGCTGACTGTAACGTTTTCACTGCTGCTGTTGCTGTTGTTGTTCTCCTTCCCCTTTCTTTTCTTTCTTTCTTTCTTTAAAAAAATTGTTTTCCTCTTGTGCGTAGTTGGAAGGCACCAAAGGTAGGTCCTTTTTCTTTTCCTTCCCCTCTGTTGATTTTTGTCTGTCTAACTTGCTTTTTCAAGATGACAATAGTCGACGTGTTTGTTTATGCTTAAATATCGACTCAAACAAATAAAACAAACCGTTTCCTCCTCCTCCTCCTCCTCCTCCTCTTCCTCCTCCTTTCCCTCTTTTTTGCCTCCTCCTTCTCATCCTTTTGGCCTCCTCCTTCTCCTCCTCTTTGCCTCCTTCTCCTCCTATTTGCCTCCTTCTCCTCCTTCTCTTTGCCTCCTCCTTTTCCTCCTTTTTTGCCCCCTCCTTCTCTTCCTCTTGGCCTCCTCTTCCCCCCTTTTCTCCCCCCTCTCTCCTCCTCCTCCTCCTCCTATTCGTCCTCCTCCTCTGTCTTACGCCACTGGTAGGTCCTACTTCTTCTCTTTTCTTGTGTTGCTTGTCCCAACTGGTCTTGCTTCTTCCCCACACTTATGACTTCTATTGTGTCGTCGTGCTTCTCTTAGACCCGGGTCGGCGACCCCAGACAATATCGATAAAATTGTTCAAACTATTGGACATTTGTTTTTTTCGGAAAAACATCCTTTCACACCTGTTCTATCGGGCCACAATGACGAAACTGTTGACTCTTTAGCTATTGAAGTTACCAACTTTGGAGGCCATTTTCTCGCTATTTTTACCGCTAAAACCAAGTGAACTTACCTCTTTCAATCACAAATATCTTCACTTCTGCAAAAGATAGATGGGTATTTTTTTCATCCAAAGCAAGATAACTGGACAAACTTTAAGATGATACCAATATCTCCACATGCACACAAATTGACGAGCACCTGATTCCACCACGTCGTGACACATATGGTTGTCTTGAACAGGTGGTCGACAGAACAGGTTCGACTGTGTATTACGTCACACACTCAGGTCAACAAGGTCAGTGTCCCGAAGCGCGTATAGGACAATCTATAACACGCGTCCTCTAGAGCACAACACGTTATTTATCATGTCAAACACGGTGACGTGACGATACCGTCAGGTGGGGTGAAAGCCGACCACTGACCTGTCACTGACCACTCGTTTAACTCTTGTCTTAGTATACCAAAAAAAAAAGAAAGAAAGAAAGAAAGAAAGACCAAAAGAAAGAAAGAAAGAAAGAAAAAACAAATAAAGAAAAGAGAAAAAAAAATCCAACGAAATAAAACTCTTAGTGTACGGAATGCTATTCCTTCTTAATCTTTGTACTTATAAACTTAAATCAATTCTGTTATCCCGAGTTTTAGTGACGGGTTGAGTGCGGCACTGGCAGGTCCTACTTCTTTTCTTTCCCTCTTTTGACTCTGTCTGCCTTACTGTTCCCCAGCGCTAAGGACTGATGATTAATATGTCGCTGCGCTTGCCTTTACTTGAGAACAAACTAATAAACATCCCAAGTTTTTGGCAGTTAAGACTACATTTTTAATTAATTTGCTGAAAACAAACTCTGAACTGAGTAGAAATGAATGATCCAACCTATAAACGTTCGGTTTATCCTTCATAAGCTTTTAACCTTATTTTTTAAAAAAATATGGTTGTTCTGTGTCTATGTCTGAATGAAAATAGTCCGTCAGTGTGTTTGTGTGTGTGTGTGTGTATG